ACCTGGTAGATACGCGCCATGCCACGCCTTAGATCTCAAGGTGTGACCTAAGGTTATCATCTTCCTCTGCACTGGGGCAATGGGCGCAAATGAATGACGATCAGGCGCAGTGGCTGAATGAGGAGTGCTCTCAGTAGCAAGCCCATCAAGCAACGGTGCTAAGAATCAATTCCCTGAGACACTCGCCGCTTGTAGTACTTAAAACCTGCAAGTGGTACTGTGGCAGCACGACTTTGACTCACCCAAGTCTGGCAACCACACACAGCACAACATGACACGGCAAAAATAATTTGGGGCAGGGCGAAATCCTGCTGTGCAAAGCTGATTTGGTGCCAGTCAATAGTACAAGTCTTCAAGCCCCTTGAAGACTTGGGCCACTACTCTTGAACGCTTTCCTTCTGCTTTTGGATCCGCCTCGCGCACGAAGCACTTCATAATCCGGCCCCTGCTCAGTGATCTCAGCACCTGGCAAGAAAGATGGCCACAGGCCCACAGGTCGGTTGCAATGCGAGAGCAGGCAGCCGGTGGCAACCAGTTGTTCAAAAATGAGATATTGATGCATCCGGTGGCATCCGGCAACTTGTGCTGACGGACCGAAAACGGCTGTTCTGACACGAATGCCGGTTTGCCCCGTCAGTCTGTGTCAAGTTTAGCAAGGGCGCGCACCGAACAGCGAGCAATTGAATCCGGACGAACACAGCACCCAAAAGCGATTCCCTGTAGCCATAAAGGTGAGTTCCAATACTTTCCCATACCCTCATCCGAGCAGACGCGACAGCAGCATAATGAAATCCTGGAAAAAGCAAATCAACTACGTCCCTTACGCGAGCTTCGACCTTCTGCGGCTGCAGTGTAGTACTACCTGTTCTGTTACGATGTCCAGCTCTAGACATGTTTGTTTGAGCGGCAAAAAATGCCACTCAACTAGCTAAGCAAAGCGGGCGCCTGGTAGCTCGTAGCTGGCAGCAAAGCTTGCCTCATCGAGTACATACCTGGAGATGTCCACACTCGAACGGTTGAGGTTTGTAAGTTACGGTAAACAATGGCTATCAGCACTAAGGCGTGCAAATCAACCCCGTTGCACTACTCTACGCAGGAAGTTCTGCTGCATTCATGCTGCTCCTTCTGGTGTTCGCATGCCGAAGAGGTCCACGCTTCAGTGGCATCGCGGTCTGAGGCAGCTGCCACTCTCGATCCGATGTCTCCGCCATGATGACCATGCTCGTGTCGTCATTGACTACTGCCTTCAGCCGCGGGGAGCAATGGAAACAAAAGCAAGCAACATGAAGGATGCCAAAACGCGAGCAACAACAAGCCAACAAAAATAACAACAAGACAGCAACCGTTTTGGTATCAAAAGCTGTTCGTGTGAGCAATATAGTCATGTGGCGCCTAAAGTAGCAGTTCTGAGGCCAAGCATGCTTGCGCCAGCGAAAGACTGGCAATGCGACGGAAAATCGCGAGTAGCCTCGCCGCCATTTCGTTAAAACCTGCATTTCAAACAAGGCCATATTCGCATTGATTGCGTCCCCAAGGCATTGCGTGCCTTGGCAACAACCTCCCCGTCAATGATGGTCAACACCTGGCAAGGAAGCTTGAGGCACTCGAGTGAGAGCCGACCCACAAACGCTCGCAAAGAACCGGGTGCATTTGGAACACCACCGTACTCATCCCTAAAGCTAAAAAGACAAAAACAAAAAATTGGATGGGAAGTTCAAACGGACAGACCTCCCACAGTGCACCTCCTCGCCCTGCTGCGCCAGCCGCGCCAGGCGCCGGCCCAGCTTACGCACCTACGGGTGCGCATACGGAGAGTGTCCAAGGGATGGCGAAAACGGAGGATCAAGGAATCATATATATATATAGATTATATGTATATAGCCGATCCCAATTCTATCAAACGTTGAACGTGTCTGCCTTTGCCAATGCTTCCTCCGAAACTCGCCAAATTGAGACACGTCGCCCAGGGATGAGCTCATAACTTCAAACAAGGGTTCTGAATAATTGAAGTTGACCAGCTCGTCACGAGGTGCTTGGTGCTTTCTTTCTTTTCGCAGCAACAACTTGACATGCAAAGGCACCTGAATAGGGAGGGTTGGGTGGGGGGGGGGGGGGGGCGGGCAAGAACGCGCGTGGCTTCAAGTACCCCAGCTTGGAATACAGAATGCGATGTGTTGTTGCAGAATCCGGACTAGCACATCTTGTTGCAGAATACAGAGAACTGAACATCTGTTGGACTACAAAACGCGAAGTGCGAATGTGTTGCTACAGGCGCAAGGACCTGTTGTGAAACATCCTTCTATCACAATTATTGTCGCAGTTGATGTTGATGCGGCATGGCTGCTTGCGACTGTCAAAGCGCTGCTGGTGGCGGGAGCGCCGCCGCCAGTGTTGGCGCTGGCTGGCATTTGGATCAAACACGTTTGCTAATTATAATATTTATATTTTTGCCCACGCAGTTCTCTGTGCTTCAATGAGCTGTCCGGCCGCTGAGTTTGTCACACTACAAGAGTTTACATGCGGGAGGAGCACTGGCGTGGATTTGCATCGCTTCAAAGAAATGCTTGCTGCTGCAGCAGCTGTCTGTGGTGCAGACTCTGGGTACGAGGTTTCACGGCAGCCGAAGACAAGGCGGCTGCTGGCTCTCAAACAGTTATTCTGAGAGTTTGTGTCCACCGTCGAGTAGCTTTTACGTTTGCAAATCTAGAGGTCACACGGATGAACTGCGAATTCCGCTTGCACAGTCGAAGCTAGGACGCTTTTACTCCCAGGCGCCCGTCTCCGAGCTAACCTTGTGGTTAGAGAGTCCAAGAATGGCTAGTGCGAGAAAGAATGGCTCTAACGGTTGATAGCTTCAGGCCCCCGCTACGGTGCCACGCTTGCGGATGATCGGCAAGAAATGCCTGCATGAGACACCATTCTGTGACGCTTTCCTCACACACATGCCGATTCAAGCTCCTAGCTGAGAGATGGGAAGAAGGCATGATGGCCAGGTCATGGTCATGCAAGGAGAAAGGGGCTGCTTGAAAACCGCGAAAAGGACACATGCTGCCTCAGCATCTCTTCCTGAGAGCGTATGATCTGAGACAAGTAGATCTGCTCCGCGTTACGGCTCAGAAAAACCTCACAGGCAAGTCAGGCTTGCAACGCTCAGCCCAACCATGCTGGAGCCTCGGTGGATTCGGGATATCCTGTTGCGAGGTAGTCACCTGGCGCGAAATGGAATAACACCAAAGGGTGGAACTGTCCACGTGTTGTGCTCACTTGTTAGCCTCCTCCAGCCACATCAGCCATTTTGTGCCGCTAGCTGCACCCCGTCAAATCCCAATTCTGACCAAACCACTCCAACACCTCCATTTCAGGTTGGAAACCGTTTTTTGGCAGGAGGTCGAAAGCTCCAGACTCTCGGCCAGGCCTGCACGCACCTGCGAGAGCTGCATCTGAAAAGTCACAGATTGGAAGGACGAAAACGGCAAAGCCCGAGTGCCCAAGAACCCGAACCTCGGATTCCAACGAGCCTCCCTTTCACAGTGTAATCTTAGGAACCCATTCACCTAAGGGTGCCACATTACCGTGTATATATATATATATGTGTATACGACATTATTCAGTACCCCCAAATATACCTAGCATCGAAAAGCTGCTTGCCAGTGAAGAAAAAAAAGGTTGTCCAGCCCAGCTCTCTGAACCGTGCAGAACCCCTCGTTCCAGGACGTCAGTACCCTCCGGAAATTTCCGGAGAATAACTTTCAGCTGTTGGGCGAGAAGGACAGGGTTCCCAGACATGAAAGATTCAAGAAATCAGGGTCCCACATACAGTTAAGTTTACGTTTGGTTTAGGTGGATCATCATTCAACCCAAATCATCACTGCTTCTCTGCCCCCTGGACCAGCCCTGCGCCCCCCCAAACTGCAAAGTCTTTGTCGGCGCCTTCCTGAAGACAACTGCCAACATTTGTTCAAGCGGGCAATGTTTTAAGGACCCCCTAAAATGGCTGCGGCACCCCAAACTGGCCGCGGACCAAGGGGTCGAACCCGGGAACCCCCTTGTCCTGGACAAGCTTCCGGTTCGGGAAATACTACAAAGTAGTAAATTGCTGCCCCCCGCCCCACCCGTATCAGCACAGGGAACTAGGGGGACCTAATTACGCAAAATTACTTCCCCGAAGGCCCACCAGCTGCAGATTTCGTATGCAAGCCTTCTTGAAAAGCGCCCAGCTAACAACTATTCATGCCCAGCCCCTGACACTCAAGTATTGTTTTGGGCACTTTGGAATCGAATTTCAGTATTGCCAATACGCCCAACTCAAAAAAAGTCCACCACAGAGAATGGTTTGACGGGTCAATCATACTAAACAAGGTCCAACATTATTAAACTCTAACCAATTCGAATCAGTTCATGCTACAGGATTAAAAAAAAAAACTTAACCAATATGTACCCATGTTAAGCTTGACAATTGATAAGCCGACACTAAACAGAGAGGACTGAAGAGGACCGACGAGTACCTAAAACAAAACCCAAGACCAACTAATGCTAAAATATATAATCAATGCTATCCAAGCCCCAGCCGACATGAGGCGCAGGCTGGCTGGGGCGTTGTACTGAAGGACACCTGGCACAAAACGTACATGTGCTGAGTCCAACTCAAAACTGACACTTGGCTCTGGCTTCCAGCTTGGATGCCAACAGCTGGGCTGAGAGGACCGGCCTGGAATTTGCCACCTGGCACCAGCTCCATGTCCTCTTCAGTAACCTTGTAGATCAGCACCTCACTCAACTGAACAGAGCAGCCCTGGATTTGAGAATTTGCTTGAGATTGACTGTGTGGCAAGTCTTCTGCGTCAACACAGCACTTTGACAACCCCAAAGGAACATGTCAAATGGGAAATTAAGGCTCAGCCAGCTTAAATCTCATGTCCACGTCTCACCAGACCCATCAGCAAACAGCAAGCCACATGTTGCCAAACCCGCTGATCCAACACATCCTCCCTGTTCTTTTTCTCCTCCACTAGCGGGCACGTGAAGTACTTGAGAAAGACAGAATTGGGCAGTACCCCAACTTCTTAGGTAGCTCTGTGCAGACAGCATGCCCCACGCAGGAGGAAAGGCCAGTCGCGACGGGTTCCTGCGGGAGCATGACCCGCTGCAAGAGCGAACGCGTTCCGCGTTGGAAATGCCGAAGCTTGCGAAGCTCGTAGGGCTCGCGAATGTGAGATCTGACCAGCCTGAGGCTGCCAGTGGCCCAATGTCCGAGAAGCAAAAGCGAAGAGCAGAGCCATGCAGGCATTGGGGATCCTGACAGCCCGTAGCAAGTCCTCCAAAACTGAAGCGTGGGAACAGGGACTTGTACCAGTCCATGTCGTCCATGTCTTCGTGTGTTGAACAGGCAACTTTGATGATTGGCACGCCCTTGTGGTCGCGCAGGCGAAGTTGAAAAACAGATAGCTGTCAGAAGCCAATGAGGCGCTCGGGCTTCATGGCAGTTGTACTACATGCTGATAGTAAATTACTTAAACTGATCGAGACCTCCTGTGGCGGACGTGCATACGTGTGTCGAACTGAATGAACGTCCTTTCCACCGGCAAGTGAGAAGTTCCCAGACTGACTGCCCTTTTCCAGCCACAGCTGAGTTCGCTGATGTCGTCGAGCTCATTATCCTGCCGGAGCTGCCAGCTAGAAGCACATTCAAGAGCAGCAAACCAAAATGACGTTGACTCTCCCATGACTCATGCAGGACATCTTCAAAACAACAACATAGCCGATTCACGCTATGATTAAATGTCAATCGGTGCAGTCTCAATGCGTCTTGATGATACCTCTCACATTCAACCTAAAACAATTGATGCAATTCTGCAGCCAGCTGACAAGGTTGTCCGTAGTACTCTGGGATGCCAGGTCGAGGGGTTGTGCTTCCTGGACTTCCGCCTGGATCTTCGGCATCTGCTGCGGCGACTGCTGCGGCAGCTGTGGTATCTGCGGCATTTGGCAGGGCACGGGCCGAGGGACACTGATTGCCATGATCGGCACCAGGTAAGGCATGGCGATGACTCTGACTGCCTCACGACCGGAAATCCAAAACCAGTAGCACGAGTGCGGAACATGTCTGCCAAACAATGCTCCAATCCGCCGACCCCTGCTCCTGAAAGGGGGAGGCGCACGGGAAGGGTGCTGCGGATGCGTTGCTACGATGATAGTTGTCATCACCATTGGAGATGCAGAGGATGCTACGATGATAGTTATCATCATCATCATCATCATCATCATCATCTGCAATCTTTTTCATATCATTATCATCATCATCATCATCATCAGCACCACCATCATCATCATCATCATCATGCGTGGACATGATTATCATGAGGACTGCTGGTGATGCTGATACGTAGTCGTCACCATGTCTTTGTATAGTATACATTTCAAGTGTGGCGTTAGAGCCCATTGGTGATGCAAAAGATGCGTGGACATGATTATCATGCAGAGGGTGCGTAGTCATCGTTATCATCATTACTGTTGGTGATGCAGAGGATGCACGATGGTTATCATCGATGATGATAACGGTGATGATGACGATGATTTGCGACGGCCATGATTAGAGCCGATTGGAGATGCAGAGGATGCGTAGTCATCATTATCATCATGGCTGTTGGTGATGCAGAGGATGCACCATGATGGTTATCATCAATGATGATAAGGGTGATGATGACGATGATGGGCGACGGCCATGATGACGATCCTTCTCTTTTTCATATCATGATCATCATCATCATCATCATCATCATGCGTGGACATGATTATCAAGAGAACTGCTGGTGATGCTGATACGTAGTCGTCGCCATGTCTTTGTGTAGTATACATTTCAAGTGTGGCGTTAGAGCCCATTGGTGATGCAAAAGATGCGTGGACATGATTATCACGATGATGAGATTGGAGATGCAGAGGGTGCGTAGTCATCGTTATCATCATGACTGTTGGTGATGCAGAGGATGCACGATGATGGTTATCATCGATGATGATAACGGTGATGATGACGATGATGGGCGACGGCCATGATTAGAGCCGATTGGAGATGCAGAGGGTGCGTAGTCATCAATATCATCATGACTGTTGGTGATGCAGAGGATGCACGATGATGGTTATCATCGGTGATGATAATGGTGATGATGACGATGATGGGCGACGGCTATGATGACGATCCATCATTATCATCATGACTGTTGGTGATGCAGAGGATGCACGATGATGGTTATCATCGATGATGATAACGGTGATGATGAGATTGGAGATGCAGAGGGCGCGTAGTCATCATTATCATCATGACTATTGGTGATGCAGAGGATGCACGATGATGGCTATCATCGATGATGATAACGGTGATGATGACGGCTATGATGACGATCCTTATCTTTTTCATATACGATTCAACAGTGCCGTTAGAGCCGATTGGAGATGCAGAGGATGCGTAGTCATCGTTATCATCATGACTGTTGGTGATGCAGAGGATGCACGATGATGGTTATCATCAATGAGGATGCACGATGATGGTTATCATCGATGATGATAACGGTGATGATGAGATTGGAGATGCAGAGGGTGCGTAGTCATCATTATCATCATGACTGTTGGTGATGCAGAGGATGCACGATGGTGGATATCATCGATGATGAGGACGGTGATGATGACGATGATGGGCGACGGATCTTTTTCATACGATTCAAAAGTGCCGTTAGAGCCGATTGGAGATGCAGAGGGTGCGTAGTCATCAATATCATCATGACTGTTGGTGATGCAGAGGATGCACGATGATGGATGAGGATGCACGATGATGGTTATCATCGATGATTATAACGGTGATCATGAGATTGGAAATGCAGAGGTCCTTAACTTTTTCATATACGATTCAAAAGTGCCGTTAGAGCCGATTGGAGATGCAGAGGATGTGCAGTCATCATTATCATCATGATTGTTGGTGATGCAGAGGATGCATAATGATGGTTATCATCGATGATGACAACCGTGATGATGACGATGATGGGCCACGGCTATGATGACGATCCTTATCTTTTTCATATACGATTCAAAAGTCCCGTTAGAGCCGATTGGAGATGCAGAGGGTGCGTAGTCATCATTATCATCATGACTGTTGGCGATGCAGAGGATGCACGATGATGGTTATCATCGACGATGATAACGGTGATGATGAGATTGGAGATGCAGAGGGCGCGTAGTCATCATTATCATCATCACTGACGGTGTTGCAGAGGATGCACGATGATGGCTATCATCGATGATGATAACGGTGATGATGACGATGATGGGCGACGGCTATGATGACGATCCGTATCTTTTTCATACACGCTTCAAAAGTGCCGTTAGAGCCGATTGGAGATGCAGAGGATGCGTAGTCATCGTTATCATCATGACTGTTGGTGATGCAGAGGATGCACGATGATGGTTATCATCGATGAGGATGCACGATGATGGTTATCATCGATGATGATAACGGTGATGATGAGATTGGAGATGCAGAGGGTGCGTAGTCGTCATTATCATCATGACTGTTGGTGATGCAGAGGATACACGATGATGGTTATCATCGATGATGAGAACAGTGATGATGACGATGATGGGCGACGGCTATGATGACGAACCTTATCTTTTTCTTATACGCTTCAAAAGTGCCATTAGAGCCGATTGGAGATGCAGAGGATGCGTAGTCATCATTATCATCATGACTGTTGGTGACGCAGAGGATGCACGATGATGGCTATCATCGATGATGATAACGGTGATGATGAGATTGGAGATGCAGAGGGCGCGTAGTCGTCATTATCATCATGACTGTTGGTGATGCAGAGGATGCACGATGATGGTTATCATCGATGATGATAACGGTGATGATGACGAGGATGGGCGACGGCTATGATGACGATCCTTATCTTTTTGATATACGATTCAAAAGTGCCGTTAGAACCGATTGGAGATGCAGAGGATGCGTAGTCATCGTTATCATCATGACTGTTGGTGATGCAGAGGACGCACGATGATGGTTATCATCAATTGCACGATGATGGTTATCATCGACGATGATAACGGTTGCAGAGGGTGCGTAGTCAGCATTATCATCATGACTGTTGGTGATGCAGAGGATGCACGGTGATGGTTATCATCGATGATGAGATGACGATGATGGGCGACGATTATGATGACGATCCTTATCTTTTTCATATACGATTCAAAAGTGCCGTTAGAGCCGATTGGAGATGCAGAGGATGCGTAATCATCATTATCATCATGACTGTTGGTGATGCAGAGGATGCACGATGATGGTTATCATCGATGAGGATGACGATGATGGTTATCATCGATGATGATAACGGTGATGATGAGATTGGAAATGCAGAGGGTGCGTAGTCATCAACGGTGATGCTGACGATGATGGGCGACGGCTATGATGACGGTCCTTATCTTTTTCATATACGATTCAAAAGTGCCGTTAGAGCCGATTGGAGATGCAGAGGATGTGCAGTCATCATTATCATCATGATTGTTGGTGATGCAGAGGATGCATAATGATGGTTATCATCGATGATGATAACCGTGATGATGACGATGATGGGCCACGGCTATGGGTGCGTAGTCATCATTATCATCATGACTGTTGGTGATGCAGAGGATGCACGATGATGGTTATCATCGATGATGAGAACGGTAATTTCCCATGGCTTGAAAGTGGTGCGCACGGATTTCACTGTATTTTGATAAACAAACGCGCCTCCCATTTCTCTCGCGCGCCTCGCAAGCGTTGCTTAGTGAGGACGCCGCCGACGCGGAGCCCCCCGTGTTCAAATGCAGCAGATATTCCGAACTCGACCACTGACGCGGTGCACCGGCTATCACAACAAACACATGGCTCCTCACACCCCCCTCACGTGGAGTTCGTCACATGACGGAGGGAACGTGCGGTTCACTGGCAGGATATAGAGCTCACACTCGTCCGCAAACAGCTGGACACTACCGCCATCAGCGGTGGCGCAATGTCACATAGGCAGTTGCGCGACATCCCGGGCATTAAAATCCCGTTAGTCGGGGTAACGCTGTCCAACATACCTACTGGAAAAGTCCACATGAAGACACTAGGTCACAACTGTTTGCAGCAGAGATGACGCACTCTCGCCGAACGGCGCCATGTGCGTATGACCATGCATACGTCAAAACGAACTCCGGGGTAACCCCCGGTCCGTTCCTTTGCCTCTCTCACTGGAACAACTTCGGAGTGAACTTCGCCAGCAGCCCAGCTGCGGTGCGGCAGGAGAACGGCTTACGCGCCTCAGCGGTTCAGGAGGGACGCCTCACGTCTTCGCGCAGGTCTTTGCGCCGCACTTGTCGCGGTGGCTGTCGTCATCTGCTGCTGGAGGCAGTCGTTGCACGTTATCGTGCCATTGCGAGTTTTGGGGCGGCGTCTTTGGAATCGCGAGAAGAAGCTACGCAGCAGCCGCTCTGCGCAGACTGTACAAGTCCAGCGCCCTCGTTCCTTTTTCGCGCACTGCTTGCAGCACAAGTGTGCAGAAAGCAAAAACCCAAAGCCTTCCAAGACTCTAGGGCGCCAACGCTTCCTCTTTGGACCGTGCAAAGCGATGCAAAGCTCTGAACCTGTGCCGCGCAACCTGCAAGTGGTATCTTCGCACATCGCCCTGCGAGTGTTTTGCCCACACAAGAGCGCAGAACTCGCAGCGCCCCAACGCGCACAAGACTCTAGGCGTCATTGCGTCACCGTCCAGCCGCCTGACCCTTCCAAGCCGGCTGACGCAACCCGTTACGCAAATCCCATACCTGGTCACGCAACCTGAGCGTTCGCCAGCTGATCTAGCGCCGAAGCTCGATCGAAAAGGAATAAGCCAGCCAAGACAGTTAGGCAACGCGAAACTTCGAAAGCCTCCGAGTCGAACATGTATTATATTCGCGCATAGTCCCGTGTGTGGACACGCCCGCGAAAGTGTGCAGAATGAAAAAACCCAAAACCTGCCAAGACTCTCAGGCACCCAAAGTTCCTCGTTGAATC